AATGAGGCATTTGAGCATTCTGGCTCAGAATTTGTGCCTCTCCATAAACTGCAAATGCTAGAATTCCTTACAAGGAAGCCATGGAATTTAAAATGGAATCATAGTGCTATAAATGTACAGTGGGGAAGAACTTTAAGAATACTAAATGGAAACTTAGGCCTCTTCTGCATTGCCATATAAAATCCAGATTATCTGCTTTGAACTGGATTATATGGCAGTGTAGACTCATATAATCCAGCTCAAAGCAGATAATGTGGATTAACTGATTTGACAATCTGGATTATATGGCAGTATAGAAGGGGTCTAAGTCTCCATTTATAATCTCTCACTCTTAACTCCCTGTGGTTCCAGTTTCTAAACTACTGAGGAGAATTAGGTTCTTTGTTAGTTTCTACAATTTTGTCTTTATTTATGTTTCATTTTGAGTGGCAACAATGTGCCATGATTGTGATTAAATTTAAGGAAATCAAGGCCTTGCATACCTGTTAATCTTAGGGCCTTACTATTGCTTTCTCTGGTGAGAGAAAGGATGCTTTTATTACACTCTTTCCCCTGTTGATTGTTTTTCTGGTTGTCTGTTTTTCTAACTTGAAATGTTGGTGGACATATGAATCAGTTCTTGAACAATTTAGAGGAACCGGTTCTGTGTTTTGAGAACACAGCATGAATGTGTAAAATAAAGTCTATGCATGTTGGGGTATATATGGCATTGGACAACATTCAGAAAAGTCTTCCAATGCATAAGGTCAGGTGAGGTGAAGCTATGAAATATAATTCAAGCTCCACATTTACAGGCACATACACATCTGTAGATACTTCATGGCCATTTGCTCAGGGCTACAGTTCCCCACATCTTGATTCTCTTTTCACTCTCTTTGTTCTCATACTTTGGATAATATTGAAAAGTTCAAATAAACTAGAGGCCCATTATGAATTATTTCTGGGCAAGGTTACTTAGAAGATTTATTATTTGGAACCAAAGAGGTTTCATAATAGAAGGAGCAGAGATGGAATTTCACCCGCCAATGTTTTTTTCAATCTTCTGCCCAAAAGAAACACTCACATAACATCCATCTTGTGTGAAACCCTACTACAGAGGGACAAAGTTGTGACTCCAGGGCATGAATTAAATATTTTCAGATTTGTCATCCTTGGGCCAAATTCTTTAAAGCTAATCTTTCCATCATACACAGTATATAAGCATGATCATTATGGATAATATATGATAGATCGCACCTGATTCAACCGCTCCAAAGAATACACAATCATTTTCTTATCTCATCCTGAGATAATTATGCTACTGGTTGCCAGAAATGTGATAAGACTTTATCATTTTCTACTATATCCTTTTTGTACTTTTTCACAGAAATGAGAAAGAAAAACATTGATTGCAATTAATAGTAAAAGCATTCATTCTCCACTATCTAGTCTCCTCTTTAACAATGTTATGGAACAGTCATGATAGAGATAATGCATTTAGCACTATTATTATACCAACAATCCAAAAGACAACAGAAGCTTTTGGCCAGCCTAAGTTTCACAGGAGAGAAGATTAAGACAGTTTGTAAGCAACAATTTATAATCCATTGCTTTGCACCAGAGGCAAAAGAGACATTCAAAGATTCTAGAAGGATGACTGCTTGACTGCTACCAGCAAAATCTCCTTTTGTAATATATTGTTATAAGTTACCTTATGATAGTTTCAGGTGGAGTTAACCCTTTATTCATCTTGTTTCAGTAAACTCATTTGGTTATCTTTTCAACTTGCCTCAAAATGCCTCTGTCTGATAAGGGTCTTAATCTTAACAGAAGGTATACAGAAAGCCCCCGAATAAAGCCAGACAATATAGTTTTCCCAAAGGCTCAAGCGTGCCATCGCATGTACAATGATCTGCATTCTTGTCTTATGGTCCAAGGCATAAACTGGCAGGCCAACCACTCAAAATACCTTCACTAGGCAACTCTTTTCAAAAGGTTTGGATTCAGCACAGACTTGGGGCCCTTCCGGACAGGCCCTATATCCCAGGATCTGATCCTAGCTTTTCTGCTTTAAACTGGATTATATGAGTCAGCACTACAAGATAATCTGGGATAAACAGAATACCTAGGGTCAGAATCTGGGATATAGGGCTTGCCTGGAGAAAAAAAACCCTCAGCTGGTTTTGTGTGGATCAGCTTGTCCTTGGCAAGCTTCACCAGTGAGGATTGTGCTCTGATTTTGCAGATAGCAGGCAAATCGAGCATTCTTGAACTGAACCACTTCACGCTGATAATGTGTTTGTGGTGATGGGTGTTTCATATGCTGAATGCTCATGTGTAAAAGAATAGATACACACATATACATGTATTTATGTATGTATAACTGGAGATGGTTTTTAGCCTTTTATTCATTCTATAGCATGATAATTTGCACTTAAAATGCTGGTGCTTGTGTATTTTATTGTTTTTATTATCAATATTATATGAACCCAAACAACACACTTGATGTACAGATTTATCCCCTTCTCCAGGAGCCCCAGTGGCACAATGGGTTAAACCCTTGGCCAGCAAGACTGCTGACCGACAGGTCAGCGGTTCGAATCCAGGGAGAGCATGTTGAGCTCCCTCTGTCAGCTCTAGCTCCCCATGCAGGAACATGAAAGAAGCCTCTCACAAGGATAGTAAAACATCAAACATCCGGGCATCTCCTGGGCAACATCCTTGCAGACGGCCAATTCCCTCACACCAGAAGCAACTTGCAGTTTCTCATGTCACTCCTGACACACACAAAAAAATGCCCTCCTCTGCTGAAGCATGAGCTAGGTCATTTTTATGGCAACTTCTGCTTATCACAAATCAAAATTTAATTGGCACTCTTCTCTATAACATAAAACTTTGGACATGGGGGAAGCAGCATTTTTTTTAATATCACTGATAATTTACATTCAGCAGAAAAGTTTGGCGTAGATGTCTATCCCATATAAAATGTGTTTTTTATTCTGCCATTTTTAACATGACCATAATAAAATATTAAACAGAAATCAAGACAATAATTGCAACACATGGCAGAGTTTAATAAGTCTTTCTCTTGCTAATGAATAATACAAGCTGTTCTACATGAGGCTCAAATATCAAGTACTTTAAAACAAAAATCCCATTGGAGAGCCAACTATATTTCTTAGCTGCATTAAATTTCATTCTGTTTGACAAACAGCTGCAGCTGTTTAATGTCTGATGAACAAAAAAGAAAGAGAAGCAATAAATTATTTGCAGCAAGACATCTAATTCACTTTGCCCCCAATATGTGAAATACCATAAAGAGCTTTGTGTGACACAAAGAGAGTTTATCACATGATCCACCAGGTATTGAGTTACAGTACATTGTCATATCACAAAAAGAACAAAGAATCTAATGCATCATAAAGGCTGTTTTTTCTGGCATACATTTCCATGGATTTCAGGCTACTGCTTCAGATTCAATCACATTTTGCTGCAACGGTTCAATCCCTGCCTCCTGCTCTGAAAATACCTGTATTTTTATCACAGAATTAAGGTACTGTTTCTAGTCTGAAGCTAAGGACACATTTGACACCCCAGTTTACTCCTGTCATCACCACTCATTTTGCCACAACCTCTGAAGTTGACTGTAATTCACGAAAGCCTATGCAAAACCAAAACGCTTTGTTTTACAAGATCCCTTTTCTTCTTCTTCTATTCGGATGCAGAGTACATTGACTACTCATTCAGAATAATCTCTGGCACTTGAAGTCATGCTGGTTGAACTCTAAATAACGTAAAATCCAAAACTGTCCCCATGACTGTAGCTGTGCTAGTGACATTTTTGCTTAACATGGTTGAATGTACAAAAACTTTATTTCATGTACAAAAATGTTGTGTTAAATTGCCTTCAAACTGTTAGTATAAAATGTATATGAAACATACATGGATGTTGTGTTCAGACTTGGGTTCTATCCCCAGGATATCTCATTATGTATGTATTCAAATACAGGAGTTTAAAAACTCCAAAACACTTCTAGCTCAGAACATTTCAGGAAAGGATCCTCAGCCTATATTTTATTCTGTTCTGCTCATTTCAGTTCTTTCTTTTATTTATTTATTTATTTATTTATTTCCCACTTTTCTCCCATAGGTGGAATTCAAAATGGCACACAGTGCTAAAAGCAACAGAAATTACAAGAATAAAATTCAACAAGAACATCATAGACTTAATAAACAAATTGCACATTTCATAACCCATATAAAACAAATTAATAAATTAGAACATATACTATTAAAATTTCTCTGAACCTCAGGCCACTGAGGATATCCATACCAACAGTTGTGTTATGATCCTAGATACTCCCTTTTCTTTAGGCCATGGAAAAACATTGCTTGGTCATTTTTGACCTTCTAATATTAGCCTTCTTTAGGCTGTGTAAAAACATTGCTCTGTCTGAAATAACCTTCAGAGATGTACATCAAAAACAGCTGTCTGACCATTGTTGTTATAGATCAGTGGTTCTCAACCTGTGGGTCTCCAGGTGTTTTGGCCTACAACTCCTAGAAATCTCAGCCAGTTTACCAGCTGTTAGGATTTCTGGAAGCTGAAGGCCAAAACATCTGGGAACCCATAGGTTGAGAACCACTGTTATAGATCATCTGGAAAGACCTGGTTTCACAAAATTGTTTTAATTTGTGAACAAAAGGCCAGAAAGGAGGGGGCCAATTGTACCGCTCTAGGAGCCATGGAGCCACCACCGAGAAGGCCCTGACTCTCGTTTCTACCAAACACACTTGTGACGGTGGTGGGACCGAGAGAAAAGCTGCTCCTGATGATCTCAGGGCTCATGGGGGTCTGTAGGAGGAGAAGTGGTCCCTTAAGTAGGCTGGGCCGGAACCAGTTAGGGTTTTATAGTCTAGAACCTGAAAACAAACTGGAAGCCAGTGTAGCCGCTTCAGAAGCAGGGTAGTTCTTTCCCTATATCCTGCCCCGTAAGCAGTCTAGCTGCTGATCTTTGTACCAGTTGAAGTTTCCGAACGCTCTTCCGGGGCAGCCCCGTGTAGAGCGTCTTACAGTAATCGAATCTGGATGTGACTAAGGTCTGTACCACCATGGCCAAATTGGGTTTTTCAACATATGGTCACAACTAGCACACAAGCTTTAACTGTGCGAAGTTCCTCCCAGCCACCATTGACACCTGGGCTCCAGGGTCAGCACTGAGTCCAAGAGGACCCATAGACTGCGAACCTGCTCCTTCAGGGAGTGTGACCCCATCCACCACAGATTGCAGCCCAATACCCTGATCAGCCCTGCGACTGAGCAGTAGTACTTCTGTCTTGTCTGGATTCAATCAGCATCCCCATTGCTATCTGTACTTACAGATGCTGTAAGGTTTGAATGTGGGGCAAAACTCAGATCATTGATCCAATAAGAAGCCTGCCCATCGCAATACAACATATTCTTCAATCCCTAAATATCAAGCATGCTGTAATATAAAACTTCAGTTAAGCTTCTGGAAAAACAGGTTGCACATCCAAAGCAAGGGAACAGACAAAGTTGGGGGGAGGGGGGAGTAAAAACACAGCAAGAATGAGAGTATTCTAAATGTGATTAATTTCCACTATGTCACTCTCTCTTTATTGTGGAGGTGAGAATTCCTATCTGAAGGTGCAATGGTTTCACTTTTTTGCCAGCATCCACTCTTGGACGCTGGCAAAATCTGCCACCGAATCTTCTGGTAACATATTTTCTCTGTTCTGAAGTGCTGGGCTGCTTTGTCCCTTGTGACAGCTGTGAGCTAAAATTTACAAAGATAATTCTACATATGTCTATGGGTAAAGATGAAAAAGATCCCCCCCCCCAAAAAAAAAAACAGATGGTACACTTTTGTATACAAAAATGTATACAGATATCTTTGTATTACTAGTATTTCTTGTGCCTTACTTGGCATATCATTATTACCTAAAATCCACAAGCAAGGAGGGAGAATATAGAAGGAGTGGGCTAGAGACAATAAAGGCAGATGAGTACACTAGTTCTGCTGGAATACATGTGGAGAGGATTATGTTTGAGTCATAGTTCACTAATTGCTCATTTACTAATATAATCACTGATTTGATTCATACATCGCCATAGTCACACAAGCGATCGTCCATACTACGCTTTCCCATAATGCCTGGGCTCATGGAGCATAGACACAGCTGGAAGCTCAGGATTTGAGAAACGGGGGGCATGTAGTGGGCAGATAACAGACAGACTTCTCCTTCCTCCACCTTATCTCTTTGCACACTAATGCACAGAAAGTGGATTCATTAATGCTGGAATAATAGCTCAAATTGCTGCTTCAAAAAAGAAAGGATCCTCAGGAAAACTCTAGAGAACTCTGTATGTTTCACTTGTAGAAGAGATGGCTGAGATAACTGTGTTTAAATATTTGAAAGGATGTCACATTCAGGAGGAGCAAATTTGTTTTCTGCTGCTCTGGAGACTATGGTCCCTTCCACACAGCCCTATATCCCAAATTGTCAAGGCAGAGAATCACACATTATCTGAGTGTGGACTCAGATAACGCAGTTTAAAGCAGATATTGTGGCATTTTCTGCCTTGATATTCTGGGATATAGGGCTGTGCAGAAGGGCCCTACGACACAGACCAATGGATTCAAATTTCAGGAAAAGAGATGCAACCTAAACATTAGGAAGAACTTCCTGACAGTCAGAGCTGTTGGGCAGGGGGATATGCTGCCTCGGAGCATGATGTTGGGAGTACTTTAATTGCATGGCAGGGGGTTGGACTAGAAGGCCCTTGTGGTTGCTTCCAGTGATGCTGAGCCCGGCTCAGGCCCCTGCTTCTAGTCCTAATTTGACCTGCAGCAGGGAGTTCCGCAGTTCCTGGATGCTTAGTTGAGCCCAAACAGATGGAATGTGCTTCAACCATAGTCTCAACTTAGAATTTTCTCTAACAATGAGCCTCTTGCTACATTTCTTTCCCCAATCCCAACTTTGTAACTAACCCCTAATAAACATTAATTGAATTGTATCCTTTACCTCTCCCCGTCTGATACTTTGTGTCCTTTTCTTTGTCTGAAACAATATAAATGCATGAATTATCCCTTCCTGAGCCACAGGCGGCTTTTTGCCTGCCCGGGATGTCCCTCTGGCAGCTCGGGGGGACGGAAACTGCGCCTGATCAAACCATGGATACTGAAACTGCCCACATGGTCTCGCTATCCACGGGTTAATCAATCGGCTCCGTTTTAATTTCATATTTTCTTTCTGATTAAATTCTAACCCTATCTGCCATCTCGCTCTCCCCCTTCATGGCTTTTCTGCTTAGGGAATAACCTTTTGATTTTTAAGACTATATTTTACAAGGAACAGCTGATTGTCAGAAGGCCGGTTCCATTGCTGCTGCCCGGCTCTGTCTCGGCTTTCCATCGCTCCTGCCAAGCCCCTGACCTGGAAACTCGATGCGGTTCCCCCATGAGGACTTCGGGGAAGAGCCTGGCTTTGGGGTCCCAGTCCTTGGAAGGAGCTCTAGTTTCCCAAGGACCTAGGACCAACACAATCGCAGCGCTACAGGAATCCCATCCTCGGGCTCAGTGGGAGTCAGCCAGCTCTTCCCAAGGATTCAGAACTCTCTATCACATGTTTTGGACTCAGAAGAACCTACTTCCTCAAAGGAACTATGAACTCAAGTTTCTTTCTGAAGTTATTTACTTATTAAATGTCTCTGAAGGGTGGGATGAAGACAGGGTTGCTGATATGAGTTTCTTATGATTTCTATATATTCCTCTATGTATTTTTCCCTTGCACTCCTAATTTTGCCATAAGCCCTTGGCCCCTCACCCCTCCTTTGAAGAAGCAACCAGGAAGCAGCTAGCTGCCCTGAGAGGGCCATTTACCCTCACAAAGACACCCATTTCACGGAGCCTTTTGCATGGACAATAGAAGTTGAAATTCCTATTTATTTTTCAGAGTTGGGCTGATAGATAGAAATTTCCTCTGGCCAACTTTTAGATTGAAATACAATAAGGACGAGACTGTCCTCAGGGGGTCTTCTGCCCCAACTCTGTTTATTTAATCCAAAACCCATCATAAGCAAACACACCTTATCTGATCAGGACAGGAAAACTCAGCTTAATTCAATCACCCTCCCATCTCAAAAACAATAGACTAATTTCTCTAGCTGGTTGATGTTCCGGACGCAGGGTCACCCCGGACTTTGGAATGTCATAATCCCCTCATCTCCCATTGTCTCTTTCCGTCCCGGCTCCTCTTCCCTGATTCGCCAGAACCTCAGAGCAGAGGGAGCTTCCTGATAGGCTCCCTCAAAGCGGAGGAGCCCCGTGATTGGCTCAGACAGGGGGCGGGCTGCCAGGCCTCCTCCCAGCTGTCCAGCGGTCAACCAATCATCTGTGAGCCGGGCGGAGGGTGAAGGGCGGGAATTTTGAAACTTCTGTGCCTGTTTCCTCTATAAAAAATGCCTCAAGTCTTTGTACTGGCATGCCTTGTATGTGAGCTATCACTACATTGCATCTGCTTCAGCTGAATCACTACAATAAAACCTCGTTTGCCGCTTCTTCCGCTTTGGTGAGGATTTATTTCAATTTTAATAGCTAATAAATTTGCTGAAATCAGGCTTCTCTGTTCTTGCCAAAGTAGCATTCCCTCTTTGGTGGGAACCAAGGGTCCTCTCTCCCTGAGGCAGACCCTCCTAAAGTTCCTACCAACTTAATTAGCACCATCATTCTATGAATCTATCTCCATATGAACAAGGGCCTTTCCAGACAAGTCCTTTATCCCAGGATCTGATCCCAGGTTTTCTATTTATCCCAGATTATCTGGCAGTGCAGACTTATATAATCCAGTTTAAGCAGAAAACTTGAGATCAGATCCTGGGATACAGGGCCTGACTGGAAGGGCCCCAAAATATATGTGTTAAGAGCAATCCATCTAGTTATTAAAGGAGAGAGAGTTGGTATTCAGCATTATTTATATCACCTAAAACTGTATCATTGCCCAATTTTATTGCTTCATGCCAAATAATATTTTGGCCTCTTTCCTTTTTTCCTTTGAAAATGCACTGCTGTTACAAAATGTAAGAGAAGAGAAAGAGAGAAGTAATAAATGTGGAAGAAAACAATAAGTCTAAGACCATACAAATATGATTAGTGATAACATACAGTGCAGACTTGACTCCCAGTGAGCTGGAACAGTTTCCATTTAATTTCCTGATTTACTTACACCATTAATGTGTCTGCAGGGTGGATTTTTGAGCATGTTACAGCTTAATTTTGTGTGATTCAAAGCAAGAGGCGCACATCTTGGAGCCCAAGTAGCTATTACTTTAGCCAATATAGCTGGTTGTCACTTGTTATTTGTTGATGTTTATTCTGGGTGCATTGTCTTTGTCATGTCCGCTATTTATTCTACAAAACACTGATAGGAAGGAGTCACTGTTTTCCAATATAAACTGCAGGCACACACACACACACACACACAGAGTTCATATCAGAAACTTTTTAGTAGGGAGAAGAGTTCCAACTTCCCATACCCAGACTGGAAGCCATAGGCATAGTGAAATAAACGAACTAGAAAATATATAGCTACTAACTGCATCTAAAGTAACGATCCAACAAGAGCAGAGGAAAGTTTGGTACTAAAGGAGTATTTTCATCCCTGAAGCACCCCAAATGCATTTAAAAAGAAAACTCTGGGTGTAGGTGTCAAGCAAGCCTCTTCAAGTCAGCATTCAAATTGATCACATCCTTATGCAACATAAGTAGGGAGGAGGAACCAGAGCATCTGATGGACCCCAAAACATTCCCACATCCAAACTGTCACTGCACAAAACACAACTGAGGCCCCTTCTACATTGCTGTATAAAATCCACATTATCTACTTTGAACTAGATTATAGTGTAGTGTAGACTAAGGACCCTTCTACACAGGCATAAACCCAGAATATCAAGGCAGAAAATCCCACAATATCTGCTTTCACTGGTTTATTTGACGCCACACTGCCATACATTCCATTTGAAAGCAAATAATGTGGAATTTTATTTAGCTGTGTGGAAGGGACCTAAAATAATCCAGTTCAAATCAGATAATGT